GTAAGCCCAGCTAACATGTATCAGTATACCTACAAGGCTAAAACTCTATGCTAATTTACTTTTTGAACCTTCTAATGCCCTTCAAATCTAAGGACCCTTCAAATCTCGTGGTTTCATCTGCACGCTACAAGCACACTGTTGTTTTTGTTGCTGCCAGTGTTTTTATAATCATTGATTTTGTCAAGTTTTCTGGTATTTTAGCTACAATATTGTGGTAGTTAGTAATTGTGAGCCTACATCAAAAACTTTTGTGAGAATGAAGTAGTAATTAAAGGGAAAGAGGGAATGATAGACAGGAATTACGATTTACATGTAACATTAGTACAAAAAACATTACTAAGGATTCTGTACGGTCTGGTACAGGAGGAGGTCCATGGGTGACATTGTGAGTTGCTGCACTGGGTGACACCAACCTAATGATGCCACTGGTCCCAGCCAAGAAGGTAAGCACTCAACCTCTGTGGTCTCTTCCCTCCCTGTTCAAGTCATTGCCCGTTGACCCACTGCCGTCAAGTCAATTCTGATCGATAGCAACCCTACAGAACAGAGCAGAACTGCCCCATAGGGTTTCCAAGGCTGAAAATCTTTATGGAAGCACACTGTCACATCTTTCTCCTACAGAGCAGCTGGTGGGTTCAAACCCCTGACCTTTCAGTTAGCAGCCGAGTGCTTAATCACTGAGCCACCAGGACTCATTCAAGTCACTGCACAGGACAATTGCCTCACCTAATAGATACAGCTTTGGGCTGCACACTCACTGTTTTACAAAATGGGACAGCAAGATGGAATCATCTCTAAGGGCTCTTTCAGGCTGATGCTTCTGCATTAAAGATGTCACATCTCCTCTGTCATATTCTTTCACACAACAAATATTTGATAAGCTACTAGTAAAAAAACTATTAAGTGACACCAAATTCTAGCTTGGTGCTTTGAATACCTTCACTCCAGAAAAATCTGAAGGATGGTATAATCATCTCCTTTTATAGATGAGGAAGCCAGAGTTCATAGAGATTGGGGGACTTGTTCAAGGTCGCCCAGCAAACAAGAGACAGATCTTGGACTGCCCATTTCCATGTGGCTCCGAGTCTCATTCTCTTCCTGTTATGCCATCCCACTTTGACTTTGAATTCTAAAGTTCCTGGCCCTGTGCTAGAACTGGATACTTCTGCCTTTAAGCAGCTCAGAGCCTAGCAGTCAAGCAAATCAAAAGTATCATTCAGCATTATAAAAGCTAAGGCTATGGGAAAAGAGAGGGGGGATCCCAACATCTGGAGCAGGAAGGCCAAGGAATAATAAAATAAATGATTATTAATAAAATCACTTAATAATAAAATCAATAAGTATTAACAAAATTATTGTTAATGATAAATTAATCATATTAGCTTATTGAGTGCTTACTATTTACCAGGGACTGTTTTCATGTATTGGCTCATTTACCGTCCACAATAGTGCCTTGAGGTAGGTACTACTATCATCCTCATTTTATAGATGACGAAACTTAGGCACAGAGAAGTATAGCTATGTCATATAACTAGAAAGTGGGGAAACAGTCTGCCTTCCCAGAGGAGGAATGTCTGAGCCGAAATCCAAAGTCTGAATAGAACCTAGCCAGGTGAGAACCTAGACAGATAAGGAGAGGGTCAACAGTGTTCCAGGCAGTAGGAAAAGCACTTCCAAAGCCTAGAAGGCTTATAGAGCCCACCTTTGTCTGCTTCCACCCAGAAACCTGAGGAAGTGCTCCCTTTTGGAGGGAATGGACTCGTATCTCCCGACGGCCAAGCATGGTGTTTAGCTTCAATCTACAGTTGAGAAGGGGGTTTTATGAAATTTTCACACACCTCATAATCCAACAGCAGCAGGAATGGTAAAAAGACTTAATGGGCTCTTAAGGAAACACCTAAATCCAGGTTCCGGGTGAAATAAATGGAAAATAGAAGAGTGTTCTGACAGAATAAGTTGTCTAAATTACATAACAAACAGTTACCCTCCTGGTATCCTGGAGCTATTCAAACAGCCAACATAGAGTCCTATCATCAAGTTAAAAGATATTAAACTTGAAGATTATAGGGTCATGAGAGTACATATTTATTACTCCACTAAAGGCCCACAGTGGGGGAGGCCAGGGCAAATGGTATCCACGATATAAAATGGATAGTCACGGGGGACAAAATTTCCTTGGAAACTCATAAATATCTGACAAGAGCCTTGTGCTATCTCTTTCAGAATAAAAAAAAAAAATTACAATGACAACTGATAGGCGTTATTATAACCATTCCAATCATCTCGACACTATATGCCCATTTTCCCTGTAAATATACTGACCATAACTCAAGAAGTTGACTTTACATCCTGATTGCCAAGGTGATGAAAACCCCATCTGGATCAAAACATGATTGGATACAAGGACGTTTTACAATAACTAGAATACATCTTATTAGCCCAACTACAGCTGTCATGAGAAAGAGTAATGGTCCAGCTTCACAAGGAAGGAAAAAAGTCATGTGATCCCCTCAGATTGCCTGGATAAGATAGATGTAACCTTAGTCAAAGGGATCCCAAGTGGGGAAATTGATTCCATCAGAGAAATATCAGTAACAATAGAGCCCCAGACATGGACCCTGTGGGCCTCAGCCTAGGCTTAGAACCTTACCTTACAGGTATCTGCTAACAGGAGATCCAACAGGAATGACAACACCTTTTCACTTCCTCAAGGGAGACAAATGAACTAAAAGATGGAGAAGATTTACATCATCAAAGGATTTCAAGGGCCATTAGGAAAAGGAACTAACAGAAGAGATACTAACAGAGGATATCATAAATGCTCATAGACACTGAACATGGTAAGCTGAAGAGATACATGGAATAATTACAACAAAGACGCAATGACTGGAGGTATGCCTCTTCCTGATTTGGTCTGGCAAGATTATGTGCTATGGGCATTTATGGGACTCTTGAAATGACCTGGAGCCCTGGTGGCACAGTGGTTATAGGCTCAGCTGCTAACCAAAAGGTTGGCAGTTTGAATCTACCAGCCGCTCCTTGGAAACCCTATGGGGCAGTTCTACTCTGTCCTATAGGGTCACTCTGAGTCGGAATCAACTCGACAACAATGGATTTGATATGACCTGAGTGACTGGGTACATTGTAACACTACCAATATACTTAACATGCCTTGTTTGCTATGATTATGATATTGATTTGGGTCTGTTGTAAAACATCCTAAGTGTAACAGAGCCAGGGGGTGAGTTGTAGAGTGTACATGCTTATGAATTATATTCCAGTTCTATCCACAGCACTTGGAATACCAACATCTCAGGGCTGCCTGCATCCCAGTGAGGGCTACCTCTCATCTTATTAGTGTCAAAATATTTTTTGCTGTAGAGTCAATTTTGACTCATAGCAAGCCTATATGACAGAGTAGAACTGCCTCATAGGATTTCCTAGGCTATAATCTTTACAGGAACAGATCACCAGGTCTTTTCTCCCACAGAGCCACTGGTGGGTTAGAACTGCCAACCTTTCAGTTAGCAGCTGAGCGCTTAACCATTGCACCACCACGGCTCCTTGTCAAAATATTAGTTACCTCATTTGCATTTATGTAAGACCTATAGATTTACGTTGGGCAAATCTGGTGTAAAAGACTTCTTTAAAGTGTTGGAAAGCAAGGATGTCACTTGGAGGACTAACGTGTGCCTG